GCCTGGCCAGACTATGAATTCTAATCCAGTGTATCGATTTATCGAAAAAATATATTGGCCTTTATAGAAAATAATAGATATTCGTACAGTTTTATTAAAATTGTGCTCGACTAACAGTCTGCAGCAAAAAAATAATTTACGTACAATATTCTTTTGAGAGAGGGAGGGAAGGAAGGGCAAGAGGGGAGGGGGAAGAGATGTGCAAAAAGGTAATAAATTAATTTTAGAATAAAATAAAAAATTTGTTGTTTTTCCATGAAAATGTTTCTCGTTCGTAAATATTAATATTGAAAAGACTTTTTCATATTTCAAATTTGAGAAATCTGGCACTGTCAGAAAATATGTATTAGAAGATAAAGTCTATTGAAATTGATCATTTTACGATCTTTTCTATCATGACATGTTTAGATCTATATACTTTATTTATAATCACAATATCCCTATTAACGGTCGGAAGGTCGCTGAGATATTACTTTGCTATCGAATCGATCCTCTTCTCACGGGGACCCTTTACATTGTTTCGCGACCCCGGATAAGGTTACAAAAATAGATTACTGGTATAAGCACGAGAAGTTTAGAACTTGCTAGTCAATAGATTTATATATGTATCCTTCGGTAACTATTCAATTTTTACATTATCTACATTATGCATTCTCCTAAAAAATTATTCAATGTTTATATTACTTATTTGACGTAACATGTATAATAAGATACTTTATCAATATCTTAAAACATCAATATCTTGTAACTGTATTATTATACCGAGAACATGATTAATTAATACACATTAATTATGAAATATATACGTAATAATTTTTAGTTCTAAAATGAGGCAGTTGAAATATATCATAAAACTAAATTACGTAATTTTAAATCTGAATATATTTAATAATAAATAGTGTATCATTAAATAAGTGAAGCATTCGAAACATATTACATTATCTAAATACGTACAATATAATACTGAATTTGCATTAGAGATGTGGAGATGAGCATCGCTATAATGTAACTTACGGGTTGAAATTTGCAAGGGCCCTAATTTACGCTTCACTATGTGTAAATTACACAACAGAGGCACAAGCTTACACTCTAATTAGGTCATTGTCAAATTATACGGTGTAGTATAACGTCGCGTGAAACCAAATCAGATGACAACCTTCTTGGATTAAAGAGCTTCGGATAATCCAATTTTCAGAGATTCTAAAGTAAACATTCTAAATATCGATTTTCTCGATCCTAATCTTATGAAGGAAGAATCTTTATTTTCAATCTGATATATATTTCTATTAATAATCGAAGAGTGGGATTTCAAACACGTTCCAATATATTGCAAATTTTCATTGTTTTTATATTATTTTGAGATACAGTATAATAGAGCTAAAATAGTAGTTCTAAAAAATTGAATTTTCGAATTGTTTTACGGACGGTATCTATTACATAATATTGCATTGATTATAAAAGTTACAAAATTATAAAAGATAACACATTATTTTTCATGTAAAGTAATGATGGTACTAGAAAATAACGAGCCGTTATTATGTAATTAATATGTATACGTGGGTATATTTATGTATACGTAAATGATAATTATAAGGTCTATTATACACCTTATTTTAATGAAGTTCATTATATGTATACGTAAAGTCTTGTGATAGAAATAAATAGACTAATGACGAGAAATAGCAAGCATATGAGACTTTCCCTCGTGGTTGTTTCCAGAATTTTCCAGTCTTGTGAACAGGATACTAATTTTACAGACATACGGTCGTTGCACTTTTCTCTTGGTGCTGGCAGATCTCACTGAAGCGTAAATAAAAATATAAAAACATGATGTAACGTGCATAAAATATCACCTGTTTTTGAGTATTTAACTTGAATGCAATAAAGTTTTCCATAATGCGATAATACGACATCTCTTGTTTCAATTAAAATAGTTCTCTTTTTAATTACCAACTCTTTAAATAGTTAATAACAGATTAAATTAAATTATGCATATATATAAAATGTAATTAATGGATTTGATTAAAAACGTTTTTAGAGTTATAGTGTGATTCACATACATATGTATGAATATGATTTTACATGATGGTACCATATCATCGTAATAATTAAGATTGCTTGTTTATGTCGGTCAGCGTTATAGCTTTCCATGCTCGGAAAGGTTTTAGTGGAGGATTTCAACACAGAAATCGATCGTGGATAAACTGAGAAAATCCGGTTTATTCCATTACAATTTTCCATCGATTGTTGTAAACCAGAATGCGTGGAGGTTATTATCAATTATTTAAATATCAGGTCTTATTACAAATATGCACGTTATACATGCACGTATACGTTACATTAATTTTTTTAAGGTAAAAGAAGAAAGCTTTTCTTTCGTCTATAATAAAAATATAATACGTTGTATACACAGGGGAATTGACGTTCCCCATACGTGAGGAAATTCATCAATCTTGCCGAGAGTGCCATGAACGTGTTCGCCATGAACGTGTTCGCCATTTATAGAATTTGACGCAGGGATCAAGCACTGTCAGCTTGCGGCCGTTCATCCGCAATACCTAAATGCGTAATGTCGCTCGATCTAGTATTCGGTGCCAATCCCGGTCTAGCATAACTCAATATTGGCCGGCTCACCGCCATTACGTGGTTCTACCATTCGAGTCTTCGCCCTCAATTATTCTCTAGGCCATCGCAATTTCGATTCTCGCCTCCATCGATCTCCTCTCCAGCAGGAAATACGGTCATCCTGTTAACTACTAGTCACGCTTAACGTTTGCCAGACGTCTCCATTCTACAATCGCGACAAAGATACGAGCAGTTTTTTCTTCGACAATTGTACCGCCCTAACACAATTGTAATATGGACCGTGCAATTATAGTCACGCGTAATTGCACAAGTATACTTGATCCATGCATTAAATAATATTGTTTTTCATCTCTTTTTATTAAATGAGATAATTTTACTGAAATATCGATCGATATCGATATTTACTCGAATCTTTATCTTGATAATTATGATTTTAATTTTCATGTAACAATATGCAGTATGCTAATTGTACACATAAACAATATGAAGTAAAATCAGCAGAAAATATAATATAAAGCAGAAAAGCATAGTATAAATAATTGTGCTTTCTTGCTTGTTATTAGAAACAGATGATATTATACGTATGCTGATACAAATATCACTGATTCATATTTTGGTAGCTTCATTGCAACGCAGAGAATGCATCATATAAACATATGTAAGGTGAGCATGGCGTGAACGAGAAATTACACAAATACATTCACAGTAAATGTAATTGGTCGAATAACCACTCTAGATGATGAATAACTGCTGGGGACTGCGCTTAACGTTCCAAGAAATTACTACATTTACCAAAGTGTCTAGAAGGGCAATAAATATGGAATGCAAGATCTTCAACTACTGCAATTGTCATATAGTCTTACTTTACGAAAATGATTATAATATAACATATCCATTAGCTTCTTACACTTTATAAAACACGATTATTTTAATAAAATATTATTTATCTAAAATAAATTTTCGTTATGGGAAATTAAAAATAATTTTTAAAAATTATATTTTATTACATGATAGCAAGCTTGTAAATAATAATGAATAATTACATTTTAAACTGCAAATTTAATTGCAAAATATTAGTGATAAAAAGGATAATATTTACCGTATTTATAATATATATTTATAAATTGTTTATGATTTATAATGAGACAAGAATACATTGCGGACAATAATGGCAATCAATCGGAATGCACTTTCGGCTACACCCTTTATCGACATAAGTTAATTCAATATGTTGTGCAATTGTTATGAAAATATTGCAATATTAAATGCATTTTGAATATAAAATAATGCATGAAAAAGATAAAATAACATTATTGAATTAAACATTAAACATTACAATATATAAAACATGTATTTTAAAATACAAAAAGTTATTTTATAAAATGAGATCTAAACATATCTATCATGCAATCCAGCACAAAGTAATTAATATCGTATCCAAAAATCTGTCGCTAGAACAACGATTTGAAATTTGACACTGATAAATAACAATCGTAATTAGATTCACAAACAAGTTTGATAAGAAAGATAGGTTATATATATACATATATATATACATATTACGGGTAACGTTTCCATCGACCTGATATATGACAAAGGCTTTAGCGAACTGGAATCCTTTTCATTTTATCGCAGGTTTACAAAGCCATCGCAACAGGTAGAATAGTTTCTAAACACTTACGCAATGTTACCGGATTATATCTGGTTGCAGCTACGAACTAAGGCAACTAAGATATCACGGTTCACAGAATAATGGCCCATAAAGCGATAATAGGATTATCATTGAGACAGATGAGCAGCTATTAGTATTCATAGTTACAGAAAAATTGTACCTTCTTTAACTATCTAACTATCAATGGTATTATTTATTAGTAATTAAAACACTAAATTATAATATTAAATTATAATATTAATAATAATATTAATGACATACTATTAATTCCCTCTTAGCTAACTATTAACTACATAATTAGAAAACTTATATTGCAATTACTATCATATTACCATTTATATTACATTATTTATCATTTTTTGGGGGGATAAGATATCTTTCAGCAAAAATTAAATTTCATCGCGACATATTATTACATATTTTTCAGATAATTTTAACTATAGTTCATGTTGCAAATGTAGAAATCTGCGTACTTATATTATATTTAGTAATCGATTATATTCAATTAAATTAAGTTAAAAATAACGTGTTGAACGTTTAGCTATTGGGCTATAATGTCTTAACAATGCAATATCTCTTGTTACTACCTCTGTGAGGTAGTAACCTCATGTCTCAAAAAATCTTTTTTTTCAGTTCTGAATGCACCACGAAGAGTTCTAGAGTTCCGTATCAATTTTAAAAATAGTTCCGGCGAATTAACCTAAAAAAGTTAAATTTGAAACTTGGGGATGCTAACTTCACAAAATGAAAACTCGAAATCAGCGATAACACTAAAAGTATTGGAAATATTTAATTTTGCCATTAGGATTTCCTTTAGAACTCTTGAGGTGCTAAATTTTCTAAGTCCCAAAGGAGGAAAATTTTTACTGTTGGGAGTTCTGGGTATCCCCTCAAGAGTTCTATCGAAAACTATTAAGGCTCGAAGCGCTACGACCGGCGAATAAAAAGTTCTCGCGATTTTTCATACTTCGGTTCGAAAAATTTCCAAGTCCCGAAGGAGGAAAATTTTTTAACAGTTCCAGCGGTTCCATTGGGAGTTCTGGGTAGCCCCTCAAGAGTTCTAAAGGAAATCCTAATGGCAAAATTAAATATTTCCAATACTTTTAGTGTTATCGCTGATTTCGAGATTTCATTTTGTGAAGTTAGCATCCCCAAGTTTCAAATTTAACTTTTTTTAGGTTAATTCGCCAGAACTATTTTTAAAATTGATAAGGAACTCTACAACCCTTCGGGGTGCATTCAGAACTGAAAAAAAAAAGATTTCTTGAGACATGAGGTGCCAACTTCACAGAGGTCTTGTTACTAATGCAAATGAGATAGGATATTCACGTACATAATGAACCAATCAATAGAATTAGCAATCAAAAGACTTATACATATACGCAAACTCATGCGTTAAAACAATTTACAAGATGTATTATTGATATGCGACATTATTATTTAAATCCTATTTTATTATTCAATTTTAGATTAAACCATTACGTTATTTTAAGTTTAATTGTTAATACTTTGAGCTGTAGATTTTATAAAACATTATATCATAGTAACTTGTGATTCTTTCATATAATACTGAAACATATAAATTTTTTAATTAATATTATGTTTAAAAAATTCGCAATAGTAACAAAGAATTAAGATTACACAAAGAAATATATCAGTTTATTCTCCCTTTAATGCGTGTGTGTGCACGCACACGTGTTATTGAGTAAAGTACTAACGAAACACAATATATTAATCAAACCGTATTTATTTGATAACCATATATTCAATATGCCAAAAGATTATTCCTGAGGAAGGAAATTACAGGTTAGGTATTATGAAGGTCTTCTCTGATTCAAATTAATCGCTTAATTTAGCAAGGTATTATTTATCGAAATTACGAGGTGCATATTTATACATTATTAAATTAAGAGATAGTTTCAGTTTCATTTAATTTTTATCATAAAACTTAATAAAAACTCTTATTATTGATTTGTCTTGTAATATAAAGATGCCAACTTTAATTTTAAGCATTCTATTGTCTCTGAAAATTCTTAAAATGCAATTAACTAGAAACAAAAGTTTTAATTTCCATAACTTTTCATTACAATTTATATCACATTTATATTACATACAATTATTATTCGATTAGCAATCAATCTTATTTTAATAAATTGTTATTAATGTCACAAGTGGAAACTGTGAAATGAGATTCGGAAGAAAGTTAATGTGATAATAGATTTCTGGAAATTGTTCGTTTTTCTTCATTTGTTCATTCCACCACGTACTGCGATAACGTAGAATTACATTCTTTTACAAAGGCAATGCGGTCTGACGTACTCGGGAGACCACCAACGTCCTTTCGCGCAGAAATTTTCGTAGTCATTCCGTCGAATCGATATCGCTTTGCGCAGTTTCATTATAAATCCGATTGCGATTTCGTTGAAATGCAAATATTGCAAAACTCGATCAAATTGCCGAACTCACTCAAGAAGCAGAAAGATTTTCATTTATATTATAAATACCACCCAAAATATCTGTTAAAATAAAATTGCATATATATTTATATTTGGAACATATGTATACAAAATGTATGCATATAAATAAAACTATGTTTTTGTAGAAGATGGCTTTTAATCGTACATGTTTATATATTAAAATTTTGCATTTGTTTTAAAAGCTATCAAAATCATGAGTTAGTATAAAAATGTTATACTGTGTAAAAAAATTATTAAAACCAATTTAGTAAATTTTCCAATTTGGAATAATACTAACAATACATTGTTATTATCTACTCACAGTAACACGTGTACATATACAGGGTGGTCTAAAAGTCCCGAAACGGTTGAATATCCCGAGAAATTGTGGGTGGATCGGAAAACGGAAAAATACGTATTTCCTATTTTTGAAAGAGCTATCGAATGATACCAAAATTGACCTCCCCACCCCCACCCCTGTGGGTGGGGCGAGGGACAACTTTAAAATCTAAAATGGGAACCCCCACTTTTTATAACAGATTCGCATTCCACGTTAAAAAGTACGTAAGTTTTGTCTGAAACATTTTTTTATTTGCCTAATACTTTTTGAGATGTTCAAGAGAAAATTTATAACTTTTTCAATGTTTAGCTTATGATATTTCGATAACTGTTTGTCAGAGGGAAAAGTAGTACAGGACATTTTACTTGATTTGGTCTCAGGAATATACTGTCGCAATAGTGCTCTAATTATTGAAAATTTTTATGTATGTAAATTTGGTAGATGGTACAATACACAAAAATTTTCCATAATTGGAGCACTATTGCAACAGCATATTCCTGAGATCAAATCAGGTAAAAAAGTCCTGTACTTTTCCCTCTGACAAATAGTTAACGAGATATCATAAGCTAAACATTGAAAAAGTTATAAATTTTCTCTTGAATATCTCAAAAAGTATTAGGCAAATAAAAAAATGTTTCAGACAAAACTTACGTACTTTTTAACGTGGAATGCGAATCTGTTATAAAAAGTGGGGGTTCCCATTTTAGATTTTAAAGTTGTCCCCGCCCCACCCCCAGGTGTGGGGGTGGGGGAGGGGGTCAATTTTGATATCATTCGATAGCTCTTTCAAAAATAGGAAATACGTATTTTCCGTTTTCCGATCCACCCACAATTTCTCGGGATATTCAACCGTTCCGGGACTTTTAGACCACCCTGTATATGTATACATATAATATTATATATGTAACACAAGGTTTTAAAATACAATGCTTTATATGGTGTATTTTTTTAGACAGAATATTCATTGTGTCTTCCTTAATGTTCTCTCAAAGTGTCAACATTTATTTATGCAACACATAAATATTAAACGATAACATGCTGTATTATGTATATGTTATTATTGAATTTTTTGGTCATTATATTTCTTCGCAATTTTGCTAACGTTGTGGAACTTTATTATGGTATCGTGCATGTGCAAATTTATACTGGCGAGCACATTAAAGCCAATGGCAGGCAGTCGTGGCTTCTCATGTTATCCAATAGTCTACGGGTCCTGCAGGACGCATTCTCGTGCATCCGGAATGCAATTCTGACGATGAATGCAATAAGCGCGAGGAAAGTGCTATGTTTGGAAAACTACAGTGGAAGAATCCTCTAACTAAAATGGAACAGCACTTTCTATGAATCCATGCAGGAAGTATGAGTATGATCCATGTTTTATAACGCAGAGGAAATTTAACACTGTAATAATCTGCACATTAAATTAGATGTATACAGTACATCCTTGATTTTACCTACTTTCTATTGTGTACTATATTTTTTACCAATCTTGGGACACTTCTTGATTGGAAAATTGGACTACAAAAAATTAAATTCCTATCCAATAATTGTTATATTTGAAAGAGAGAGAGAGAGAGGGGGGGACTGATTTTATATTTATATGTATATAAATTTAATTTTACTATTACAAATAGGAAACAATGTATAAAATACTGATTTGATAAAAGCATGTATAATATTATACATCATTTTACATATAATATGGGCAATAAAAAGCTGTCGTTACACGTATAGATCTTTTATTAATGTAATTTTATATTTTATGTAAATCTGTATGTGATCCATATTAATAAAACAAGATAGGGTAACAGTAAAATAATTACATATCGATAATTATAATATTGTTAATGCATTTGGATTCACAATAAATTATTAAATTTAATAATCTAAAGATTAAATAACCATTATAAATAAATAAAATTAATTACGCGATATTTAAGGAAATTGAAAACATTTTGCAAACCGAATATTTAACATCTGAGAATAACGAGTGCTTTTTAAAAATGATGACATTTTTATTATATTTTAGAAAATTTTTATAAACATAAAACAACTATAATACAACTTTTCACACTACTTCATTCCTTGTCTTAAAATGTATTTTTTCGTTTCGTACGCATATCAATTTCACATTACTTACTAACATTTCATCTAATATCAGCAAATGTATATTCACATAGATTTACTCTAGCACATTTTAATATAACACTTCAATCATAAAGTAATCTATACCCAGTTAGATGGAGAAAACCGTTAACCGCAAGAAAATCACAGTTCGTAAAGCATAAAGCTTTTCGTTCGTTGTCATTTAAAATGGATATAGGTCAAACCAATTGGAAAGCTGCCAGCTGTGTGCTTTGCAAAGTTGGGTTCGGCTTGCAAAGTGGACATTCCTTGTTGATGCATTGACAGTCGAGGTTTTCCTTTCACGAAAGACGTGACTGCAATACTTAATTTCTCATATACGTCTCATTGTCAGACTGTGTCAATGCATGAGTAACTGGAAAGATGTTAATAAATAAAAGTGATTTTTTAAAATTACCATTTCTAATATTTTTTAACTAGCAAAGTATGGATAAATAATAATCTATAAATTTCGTTTTTGTACATAACAATAGATAATATTTTTGCCTTATTAATTAATGTTAATTAAATATTCATGTCGTGAGAGATTTACACTACCATAGGTTTTATATAAAATAAAGGAGTAGAATCTGAGAGTCTATGCTAATTACACTTTTTGCATAATACCATGTATCATTTGTTGGCCGTGTGCCATTTTACAGCACTCATTTTCGAAGAGTAATAAGTCACTATGCGGAATTAGTTTCTTTATAGACATAAAGTAATTTTTGCAAGTCTTCATTACATTATGGTTGAAAGATTTCTCACTTCTCATTTATTATATGATATATTACAAACTTTCCGTTTTAATTATAAATTCAAGTAAAATAAGAAAGTTTTATATACATTTTATTATAACAAAAAATTGATACAAATCATAAAAACAATTGTAAGAATTATATTACTTCCTACAAAGAAAAGCAAATTAAATTTTTATGAACTATAATTTATGAAATATAATAATACTAAAAACTAACACAGTTTAAATGAAATGATT